TTGAAGCTCTCAACAAGGTAATTCTTAAAGCTGTCTATCATTCATTAACTGTTTTTTTAAATTTATTTATTTATTTATGCCTGCATTGGGTCTTCGTTGCGGTGCACAGGCTTTCTCTAGTTGCTGTGAGCAGGGGCTACTCTTGTTGCAGCATGCAGGCTTCTCATTGCAGTGGCTTCTCCTGTTGCAAAGCACTGGCTCTAGGCACGTGGGCTTCAGTAGTTGTGGCTTGCGGGCTCTAGAGCACAGGCTCAGTAGTTGTGGCACATGGGCTTAGTTGCTCTGCGGCATGTGGGATCTTCCGAGACCAAGGATCAAACCCGTGTGCTCTGCACTCTACCCCAGGATTCTTAACCACTGTGCCATCAGGGAAGTCCTATCATTCATTAACTCTTGAATTAGAAGGCCAAAATATAATTGCATGAGGCAACTACATTACTTTTAAAAAAGTGACAAGATTTGAGTCTAACCACAGCAAAAGTCTGTGCATTTTGTGTGTGTGTTTGCACATCTTTCTCTAATAGAAAAGAGGGATAATTTTCACATCAAACAGTTAATGTAAAAGATTCAGAGTAAAATGTAGTCAATGTCTTATTAATTTTAATCGTTTTATGTGGTTACATTACTTATTTTTATAACTGTATTCAAATGAATGCATCTTAAGGAACCATCATACAGCTTAAAGACTAAAAAATCAAGCATCTTTTTCTCTAACAGAAAAATGTAGAGATAGAAAACATTGTATATCTCATTCTTCTTCCATTAAACAATTTAATAAAACAGTTACTAAGAAGCACTCTTCACAAGTGCAGACACTGCTCTAGGCCCTGTTCTTTAGAAAATCTGATAAGAAAGGAACTTCAAGATCGAGGCCAAACATCCAAATATTTAAACATTACGAGAATCTGCTCTACAACAGCACCACCAAGTGGCCATTTGTGCAACCTGTGTTCAAACACCTTTAGCAATAGGGATGTATGTATCTCAGAAGGCAGCCCAATGCATTTTCTGATACATCTGATTATTTGAAATAAATAAATCGATCCAAACAAGTTTAATGATAACCTTATCTATTGGTCCTGCTTTTATTCTCAAATTTTCAATACAGAACAAGCCTAATCAGTCTTCTATTTAACAGCCCTTCAAATATTTTAAAGGGACTACTATAAACCTCAACTCTTCTCGTCAACCTGAATACACAATTTTTAACTTAGCTATTTAATTAATCATGTATAGTAAAAAAAAAAATTTCTCATAACAATTTACAAGAAGGAATGCAGGGGCTTCCCTGGTGGCGCAGCGGTTGAGAGTCCGCCTGCCGATGCAGGGGACACGGGTTCGAGCCCCGGTCTGGGAAGATCCCGCATGCCACGGAGCAACTGGGCCCGTGAGCCACAACTACTGAGCCTGCGCGTCTGGAGCCTGTGCTCCCCAAGAAGAGAGGCCGCGATAGTGAGAGGCCCGCGCACCGCGATGAAGAGTGGCCCCCCGCCCGCCTCAACTAGAGAAAGCCCTCGCACAGAAACGAAGACACAACACAGCCAAAATAAATAAAGAAATTAAAAAAAAAAAAAAGAAGGAATGCAAACATAAGAGTTTAATTCTTGAAGTTACAAAGGAGAATAATTTGCAAAATTACACAAAGTTTACCCCAGTTGTAAACTTTAAAGCAAAAATTTAAATTGTTTTAATATTACTAAATGTCTTAACTTTATTTATTTACAGATAAATATAGAGAAGAGAATTCATTAAGATTAGCAAAGATTTGTTTGATATTTTATAAGTATTTTCTATGCATTAAATACCTTTGACAAACAGCAGTTTCATTTTTTTCTTAACTGTAGCACAAACGACTAATTTAGAAAATTTATATAAACCATTCTTATACAACTACCCTCCTGGTAAAAATGAATGACTTAGGACACTAATCCTAATCCTATTTTACTACAGGACCAATAACTAGTAGATTATATTTACATTTAAATAATGTTTGCACAGTGAAGGTGAAAGTTAGTGTACAATCTGGTACCTTCAGCACAGCCAGTTTCATAAATAAATTTCTTATTGATAAAATAATACCAGTACTAGACAAAGAAATGCCAATTTCAATTTACCTAATTCATAGTCACTGTTTCTCAGTACTGAGTATTTTAGAAACAAACTGAAAATATAATTTAAGTTACTTGTCAATATCATATACCATTAATAGGGCATATAAGATTTATTTTATCCTGAAAGAACAAACGGAAAATTCAATGCTGCTTTATATTTTGGTCTACTGAGAAAAGGGTAACTTTAGTACTAAGTAAGCTTCAATTAATTTTCTTAAATGGTCAAGCCATTAAATAAAATGACAACGCATTCACAAGGAGAATTATGCTCTGCTTTTATTGAGCTAATAACTGTGAGCAAAAATAGAAAGTTACAGATAATATTAAATCAATTTTGAAAGTTCTGCATATTAAAGACAGACAATATTAGTTCATTTAAAATAAAGGCAATAATCTTTACTGAGCCTGTCAGGATTTGTTTCCTGGGGTACCTCACCTTCTTGGTTAACTCCAAGCAAGTTAGTTACTATCTGGTTCAGATTTCAGCTATACTAATATTTGTCTGTAAAAAGTTTCATATAATTGAATCTTCTAAATAACTTACGTTTATCCCATTATGCAACAAAATTTAAAATTTTAACCATTTCATAGGCATTTTTCTAAAAGACTTCACTTATTTCCCTGCTTTCTAATTAATTTAACCATTTTCTACAAATTTAGTTACAGTATGAATATGAACTGTACTGCAAAATGGTAACTGCTGTGCTTGGATCTCCTGTTTCCTCTCCTCTGCTTGCTGTCACTTACTGATGACAGTGTGTTCTTGATGTTTCTGATGCTGAGGTGAGAACCCAAGAGTGTCTATAAAGGCTCCTGAGCACAAAAAACTAGGCTTTGTGATATCTGGTTACTGAATTATTTTTCTCTCCTTCTTCACCTCCATCCCTAATTTTCCAATTACTGAAGTTACCATAAAAAACAAAAACAAACAAACAAAAAAACACAGCAAAATAGGCTGTTAGCACCAGGAAGGGAATTCTGAAGAGAGCTCCAGGTGCCTGAACACAGGAGCAGAAAAACCTCTTCCCTTAGAGGGCAGCACTGGCTAATTTGCACAATGAGGTCCCCATTCCTTTTTCCCTGGGAACTGGAATCAACCTGCCCATTCTAGACTTTTCTATCCTTTATATGGCATTCTTTTTTTAAATTTATTTTTCAGGATTTTTTTTAACATCTTTATTGGAGTATAATTGCTTTACAATGCTGTGTTAGTTTCTGCTGCAAAATAAAGTGAATCAGCTGTACGTATATATATATGGTATTCTTCTCTCCACAGATAATTTAATAGCACAGTCTCCACGCCTCCTGCTCATTAAATGCAAAGAACAGAACAAAGGCAGAAACAATAGCAGTGCTGTCAAATTACACATGGGGCATAAGAGTTAAATGACCATGACTACATTATATGGAAATGATGTGTGCTTGGCATGTATTGATACATGACAAACAAATGTAAATAAAACTATGAATCTGAGTTTCTGTCTATGGGGGTGCTGAGAAGGATAAGGACACAAAGATGTAATTTTGTCTGGCACTGGAATTCTCAAAATCATCAGAAATATTTATAAACGCCAGAGAACGTAAGTTAGAATTACAGAAAATCTAGATTTTGTTCTCACTACATATAAACTGAAGGAATCACAAAATTAATTAATCAACGTTTTCCCTTTTTCTTATTTTTTAAATACATATTTTGTTTTTAATTAATTTATTTAATTTATTTATTTTTGGATGCATTGGGTCTTCGTTGCTGCACGCGGGCTTTCTCTTGTTGCGGCGAGTGGGGGCTACTCTTCTTTGCGGTGTGCAGGCTTCTCATTATGGTGGCTTCTCTTGTGGCAGAGCACGGGCTCTAGGCACATGGGCTTCAGGAGTTGTGGCACAAGGGCTCAGTAGTTGTGGCCTGCGGGCTCTAGAGAGCAGGCTCAGTAGTTGCAGTGCACCGGCTTAGCTGCTCGGCAGCATGTGGGATCTTCCAGGACCAGGGATCGAACCTGTGTCCCCTGCACTGGCAGGGGGGTTCTTAACTACTGTGCCACCAGGGAAGTCCCTCCCTTTCTTAATTAAGCATTAGTAGTACCGGCCACGGCTTAAAAAAAGAAATTCTGCCTAAGTAAACTGATGACCTGTTTCTCTCTACCAAATAAGTTCTTATGATTCAAGTTTTAGAGAAACTATTCTAAGCCATCAAAGACTAGTTGCCTACAAAATAAACAAAATAACCCCTCTTGGCTGCAACAGATTCTCACCGCTCTGAAGTAGTTTTTATCAGAAAAATGGAAAAATGTGAGGTAATCTTTGATTAACTAATAAAAGTTTATTTTTACATTCAGTTTTCCCTACTAGGCATGAGAAAAAAACAACAACAAAAAAAGACATCTAAAAGATTAGCCCTATTCATCTACCTGGCTTGAATAAATAACAACTACCATTTTACTTCTGTTAGCTGGTAATGTCAAAAATTACTGATTTATAGAAAATAATATATGAGAAAGAAAGTAAATAAGGATAAAATACCTAGCAAAAAAAAAATACAGAAAAAAGTTACTCTGTAAAACATATACAACCCAAAGCTATCCAGTTAACATAGCTACAGTATCTTGGAGGTGAGAATATATAATAGATTACTGAATTAAAACTATTCAAAAATGACACCTTTCTGTTGGCATCTGTAACCATACAGCACTAAGACAGAACCACTCCAATGGCTAAAGGAGTCATGAAATAAAGGATGTATATCTTACTCTTGATCTTAGGCTAAATAAACTATTTTGTTTCCCTATCTATAAAATGGGGGCAAACTGGAAGACTGTGAAAATTTATTATTGGTAAAATGCTTATAATTTTCAGGTAAAATGTTACAGAAAAAGTTAAGTACGTGATCCATACCTTGTTTTAATTCCAAACCTTCAGGTTGCTTGTTCTCTCTCAGGGATGAAGTAGAATCTATACAGATGTCTTGTCTGAGGAATGAAAATAAATAAAAACAATCTTTTAAACATTATTCAATGAAATAATATTTACTGCTGAGGTTCCTAGAATTAAGTTATACACTTGAGAAGACACAGTGAATTCTTCTCAGCCCCCAGGGTACCACTCAGTACATTCTGGAAACTCAGAAACATGAATACAAGTGTCAGAAGCAGTGGCTATAAACTACTACCAATTTAAGTAGTATACTTTGTAAAATCAAGGAACAAACCTGGAATGAATACCGAGGTTAATTTTCTCTCCCTTCCAATACTCTGCAGGGTAGGTGATGGGAGAAATCATAACTCACAGAAGAATCTAGTAATTTTTCAAGTTCGACTGTTAAATTTAATGGGCATTCTGGCATTCAAATTATTTTTGTTTGTTTGTTTTTGCGGTTCGCGGGCCTCTCACTGTTGTGGCCTCTCCCATTGCGGAGCACAGGCTCCGGACGTGCAGGCTCAGCGGCCATGGCTCATGGGCCCAGCCGCTCCGCGGCATGTGGGATCCTCCCGGACTGGGGCACGAACCCGTGCCCCCTGCATCGGCAGGCGGACTCTCAACCACTGCGCCACCAGGGAAGAAGCCCTCAAATTATTTACATTCATCTAATTTCATACCTCAAATGCTTTGGTGTCTACAGGATGTGGAAAATACATATCTTATTTGCAATATACATATGTAATCAAAGTAAATGGATTATGTATAAGATCATGCCATAAAAAAAGTTCTTGATTCACTATTTCTGCAAAAGAGCTGTAAACTAAACTAATACTCTTTCTTAGAGAGCATTATACCATTATTGATGTTACAATACCAATACTGATGTTACAAATACTTTACAGCAAAAGTCAAGACATTAATTATTGTAAATATTCAAAATAACTATTTTCTTTAAAATACATATCCATTACCTTCTGAGAATTTTTATCACAACCTAAGACTAACATACTAGAAATATCTAGGAAATTTTCGTATTCACAAAACTTTTTATATCCACTTAATAACAAATCCCTAATAACTAAAGGATAAAGACTTCTGATTATTTCTTTGAGAAGTTTACAATTTTCTTTCCAGTCAACACATTTGGCACTTATAAGTTTGTTCTGTATTAAAACTTTACTAATAAAAGTACAAACTCAAATAGAAACTATGAAATATTTAACTTGGTATTATGACATCTTAGAGATTTATAATTGAGATAGCTCCATTTTTTATCCTTCTTTCTGTCTAATGTCACCTACTCAGATTTTATTCTTTCACCAGAATGACTAGCAGATTCCAAGGAGGATATCAACAACACACCCTGGCAATCTAGGGGCAGATTAAATGCCAATATACCACATTAAAAGCTTTGCAAAGGGGACTTCCCTGATGGCACAGTGGTTAATAATCTGCCTATCAATGCAGGGGACAAGGGTTCGATCCCTGGTCCAGGAAGATCCCACATGCCACGAAGCAACTAAGCCAGTGCACCACAACTACTGAGCCTGCACTCTAGAGTCCATGAGCCACAACTACTGAAGCCTGCATGCCTAGAGCCCATGGCAAGAGAAGCCACTGCAACGAAGAGTAGCCCCCGCTCACCGCCACTAAAGAAAGCCCAAGCACAGCAACAACGACCCAACGCAGCCAAAAAAAAAAAGAAAAAAAAAAAGCTCTGCAAAGAATAAAGTTAAAATATGCCACCTCAAGCCTTACATCAAATTAGATTTTACCTACTGGGAACATTAATCTATTTCTAAGTATATTCCTTTAGAGAAAATGTCTGTTTGCTCTTATACCTGAATGGCACTTATTTCTCTTCTAAACACATACACCTAACTTTTTAAAAAAATGACTTGAACAAAAACATAATGTAACATCACCATTAAAAGGACCATGGGCATATGCAATACCTAATAAAGACACAACATCACTCACGCAACATTATAGCTGAGAATGTATAACCTATATCATGAGGAATCATGAGACAAACCGCAAGTGGAAATGAGTAATGTTCTATTAAAAAGAGGGAGGGGAGTTAAAGTCAATGTTATAAAAGACAAAGAAAGGCTGTAGAAATATTCCAGGTTAAAGGAGGCTAAAGAGTCATGACAATTAAATGTCATAACTGACTTGAGACTGCTCAACTAGAGGGGGAAAACATTATAAAGGATATTACTGAATCAAGTGACAAACTAAAACACTGATGGCAGACTGGATAAAAGTATCAATGTTAAATTTACTAAAGCTGAATTTACTGAAGTTAACAATGTATTGTGGTTATATGAAAAAGAATATCACTATTTTAGGAAAAGTACAATGTAGTATTTAGAGGTAAAGTGTCATGCTGTATGTAACTTAGCCTCAAATGTTTCAGAAGAAAATATACAAGTATATAAAGAGAAGGTGTGAAAATGGGACTAAATGTTAATAATAGGTAAATCCAGGTAAAGGATATATGTATGTTTCTTGTACTATTCTTATTCCCGCAACATCTTAATAATTCTGAAATTATTTCCAAATAAAAATTTTTAATTAATAATAATGTAGCGAAATGGATTATTTTATGCATTATTTGATTTTCTCTGTGAAAGCTCCTTGAATCCCCTTCAAATAAAACTGGACCCCTCTATAAAGACTATCTGCTGTCATAAACAAATTTTTTTATTGCTGGAAGTGAATGTTTATAATGTTCTGTTTTCTCTTAAGGTGGATTTGATCAGGCTGTTGAAGAAAATCACCAAAAAAAACTTCAGACAGTAGAGGTAGTACACCACCTTGTGGCTGAAAAGTGAAAAGCTAGATGCTTTTACATCAGTATCATCTGAAGCTGAAAAAATGTTCCAGAAAATAGTTTGGAATTTTAATATTTCCAAGACATAGATTTGCAACTAAAATTATCATACACATTCAGAGTTATGTAATGCAATTTAAAGATTTTCACTAAAGAGCATAAAAGGCAAGATGGAAACAAAAAAGGAAATGTCTTAAAGTGTAAGAAAATTGTCTCCCCCAACATAATGAAACATACTAAGTGTCAGAGTTAGGAAAACTAAAGGAATTCCAATTTATAGTTAAATTACATTTAAATATTTCTATCAAACGCTTTAAAACCATATAAGAATTTTATAATAACTGGAGAGAGAAGAGGTGAAGAGAAAAAAGGGGGGAGGGAAGGAACACACTAAAAATCTGGCTTAAGAATCTTGCAATGCTTTTTGTAGTCTTTTCCATTAAGAAAAAAAAAAGACAGTTTTTATTTCCCCAATTCTCTTCTCCCATCTGCAATGCTCCTTAAAGCACCTTAATTTACAATCTTGGCCTTGAATTATAAAAGAGCCCTATATCTATCCTTGGGATTTAAGTTCTCAAACCAGTATCAGTCCAACTTTCTTTCTTTTACTCCAAATATGGTTCTATGAGTGATGCTTTCTTATAACTCCAATGAATTTGTTTTTTAAAATCAGAGTAATACACTGGGGAGATCTGTAGGACTTAATCAAGAACAACCACACATGTGAATTACTAAGGTTTAAAATATATTGCTAAACAGAAAAAAAAAAAAATCAATTTCTTGTCCAAAAGAAAAATACTGGGAAGAGACCTCAACAGAAGGAAAAAGAGAGAACCAAACCAGAAGGATTCCTCCCACTTTGGAAAAACTCAGCTAACAAAGAATCAGGCAAACTGGCCTAACGACAGATAAACCCTTGATTCTCTCCACTATCCTGGGAGTAAAACTAGAGGCTGAATGGTGCCAGCTTATCATGTTATGAGCTTTCTACTATTAAAAATAAGAGACAGGCAAAGAAACTAGAGTAGCCAAAAACAATTGTGAAAAAGAATAACCAAGTTTAAGGATGCACACTATCACATTTCAAGAGTAAAAAGCTACAGTAACCAAGATAGTAATGGTATTAGAGAAAGGATAAACATCTGGATTAATAAAACAGATTAGAGTACAGAAACAGATCTAACACATATATGGTCAATAGTTTAAAACAACAACATAAATGTGTATCACAGTTCTGTAGGTCAGAAGTCTGGGAGGGGTCTCACTGGGCTAAAATCAAAGTGTCCACAGGCTGCAATCTTTTCTGGAGACTCTAGGGGAGAATTCATTTCCTGCTCATTTGGATTGTTGGCATAAATTTGTTCCCTGAGATGGTAGGGCCAAAATCCCTGTTGCCTTGCTGCTTACCCAGCTTCCAGTCAAGGTCTTCTCATGTCACATCTCTCTGACCTAGTCTTCTTCTGTCTTCCTCTTCCACTTTTAATAACTCGGTGTGATGAGACTGGGATAACCTGGATAATCCAGGATAATCTCCCCATCTCAAAGTCCTTAACCTTAACCAAATCTGCAAAGTCCCTTTTCTCAATATATAAAGTAACACATTCTTAAGTTCTGGAGATCAGAGAGTCATTTTTCTGCCTACTATATTACCTGAACTGGAGAATGGATAAGCAAACTGTGGTTCACCCACACAATGGAATATCAACTACTCAGCAAGGAAAAGGAAGGAGCTACTTATATACACAGCAACATAAGTGAATCTCAAATGCATTATGCTAAGTGAAAGAAGCCTATATACTGTATTTATCTATATGACATTCTGGAAGAAGAAAAAGTGTGAGGACATAAATCAGGTTGTCAAGGGTTGGACACAGGAGAAGGAGTGGACTACAAAGAGCCATGGGGGAAATTCTTGGTATGATGGAACGGGTCTATATTGTGGCTGTGATGGTAGATAAATTTGTCCAAACCTGCATAACTATATATATATATAGTAAAAAAAAAAAAAAAAAAAAAAAAAAAATTACGCTTTTATCTAAATTACACTTTTAATATTTTTGTATCTAAATTACACTGTATTTTTTAAGTTGGGGTACCACAAAGCCTTAGAACAAGTTCAGAAAAATGAAATCACGTAGTGCTCAAATGTAACCCTCAAACACTATGGAATGGAGCAAAATAATCTTTCTCAAAGGGCCTTTCCAAACAGCAAAT